GATGGATCCGGAACATTCCAGAAGCTCTTCCATGGGGTCCCAGCAGGTTCAGGGAGGGTTGGGAGCCAGGGGAGCTCCAGGATTTGGATCTGGAAGGTTCCAGAAGCTCTTCCATGGGGTCCCAGCAGGCTGAGGGAGCTGGAGAAGCTCCAGGATTTGGATCCGGAACATTCCAGAGGTTCTTTCCTGGGGTCCCAGCAGGTTCAGGAAGGGTTGGGATCCAGGGGATCTCCAGGGATGGGTCTGGAACGTTCCAGAAGCTTTTCCATGTGGTCCCAGCAGGCTGAGGGAGGGTTGGGAGCCTGGGGAGCTTCAGGGATGGATCCGGAACGTTCCAGAAGCTTTTCCATGGGGTCCCAGCAGGCTGAGGGATCCAGGGGATCTCCACGGCGGGGGGATCCCGGGGGATCCCGGAGGGTCCTGGGGGATCCCGGAGGATCACAGAGGGTCCCGGAGGATCCCAGAGGGTCCCAGAGGATCCCAGAGGGTCCCGGGGGATCACAGAGGATCCCGGAAGATCCCGGAGGGTCCCGGAGGATCACAGAGGATCCCAGAGGGTCCCAGAGGGTCCCGGGGGATCCCAGAGGGTCCCGGGGGGTCCCAGAGGATCCCGGGGGATCACAGAGGGTCCCAGGGGAGTCCCGGGGGATCCCAGAGGGTCCCGGAGGATCCCAGAGGATCCCAGAGGATCCCGGGGGTCCTGGAGGATCCCAGAGGATCCCGGGGGTCCTGGAGGATCCCAGAGGGTCCCAGGGGAGTCCTGGGGGATCCCAGAGGGTCCCGGGGGATCCCAGAGGATCCCAGAGGGTGGATCTCGGAGGGGGGATCCCGGGGGATCCCAGAGGATCACAGAGGGTCCCGGAGGGTCCCGGGGGATCACAGAGGGTGGATCTCGGAGGGTAGATCCCGGGGGATCACAGAGGATCCCGGAGGATCACAGAGGGTCCCGGAGGGTCCCGGGGGATCCCAGAGGATCCCGGGGGATCCCGGGGGATCACAGAGGGTGGATCTCGGAGGGGGGATCCCGGGGGATCCCGGGGTGACGCCGCTGTCTCTCGCAGGACCTGAAGATCAAGAACATGGGCTCGTGGGCGTCGCTGGTGCAGAAGCACCCGGCGGCGCCGGCGGCCGCGGCCAAGTCCTCGAGCGACTCCTTCGAGCAGTTCAAGCGGGCGGCGCGCGAGAAGGAGGAGCGCGAGAAGGCCCTCAAGGCCCAGGCCGAGCAGGTGGAGCGCGAGAAGGAGCGGCTCAGGAGGGAGCAGGAGAGGATGAGGTGAGGGCACGGCCGGGGGCGCCGGGGACGCCTCAGGCACCACCGGGGACATGAGAGACACCTCAGACAGCACCTGGGACACCTCAAACAGCACCTGGAACACCTCAGACACCACCGGGGACATGAGAGACACCTCACACTGCACCTGGGACACCTCAGACACCTCAAACTGCACCAGGGACACCTCAGAGACATCTCAGACACTACCAGGGACATCAGAGACATCTCATACACCACCTGGAGCACCACTAGAGACACCAGGAACACCACAAACACCACCTGGGACACCTCAAACACCTCAGACACCACCAGGGACATGAGAGACACCTCAAACTGCACCTGGGACACCTCAAACACCACCAGGAACACCTCAAACACCACCTGGGACACCTCAAACACCACCTGGGACATCAGAGCCACCAACCCCAGCAGGACCACCGGCAGTGACCCCCATTCCTGTGCTCACTGGTGGTCACTCATGGTCACTCTGTGGTCACTCTGGTCACTCCAGGTCCCGGGAGGATGATGAAGCCCTGGAGCAGGCGCGCCGGGTGCACGAGGAGGTTCAGGCAGGGGGGGGTTCCTGGTCAGTGATGGTCAGTGATGATGGTCAGTGGTCAGTGACGATGGTCAGTGGTCAGTGGTCACTGTGGTCACTCTGAAGGTCCCGGGAGGATGATGAAGCCCTGGAGCAGGCGCGCCGGGTGCACGAGGAGGTTCGGCGGCGCCAGGAGCAGCAGCCGCCGGCGCCG